CAGGAAGAAAAAGAAAAATACCGGATGGTTTCACTCAAGGTAGGGAACCCAAATAAGGGATCAGGAAAAAAAGTAATTATAATAAGGTACATATCAAAATCAGTAGGCAACTATAAACCAAAGACATTCTTCAGGAGGGGAGAAAGAAGTAGGATCAAAACAGGGGTAGGAAGAGCACAAGGGATGATGGTGATGGTGCAGGGTGAATTGGTGGTCGGACTTTCATGGGGGCTATAACTGAGATGAGAATGCATACATCGTGCAAAAAGTGAAAAGAGATGTAAAAAGACATAAAATTAAAAACAAAGTAATGAAGCAGGGAGAGACCTGGAAAAGCATTCCAAGAGAAGGAAGATCAAGAAAAGATCTTGAGGAAGGAGTGTAAAAAGTTGGAAAGAAGGCAGGTGTGACTAGAATACAGCTAAAGTGTGGGGCAGATTCGTGGGCTGAGCCCAGATCAAGCAGTCCTGGTGACTCTGGATTTCGTCCTAATTTCCATGGGGAATATTGGAAGGTTGTTAGCAAGGAGTATATGATTTGACTTATGCTGTATGGCGTCATGTTAGTGTTAGGGGGAAATGATGCCCTGAAGGAACTCCATGGGTTTGTGGACTCCATCCAAAGCCATCACATTGCAGGGAAATATGCTGGGACCTGAGGAAGGAGTTAAGCAGCCAAGTTGGCATAATACCAGCTATCCGGGCCTTGGGCATCTCTTGCTCTCTTGACTTTTAGTTCTTGAGCCTTTGGCTCTTGGCTTGCCTTGACTTTTCACCAGCTCTCAGTGTGCCACTGGACTTCCATGGCAGTGGAACTGGTTGGGTGCATTTACCAACTTATCACTCTCTCCCTGAAATATCCATTTCTTCATTTCCCCTTCTATTATAAATAAACCCCTTATTAACCTTTTCCTTTTGTGTGTGTGCCTTCAGTTGAGTCTTTTTATGTCACTTTAAGTGCATGAATGAAGACCCACGATCAGACAACTCACTTCACATAGGGGGATGTCCTATAACAGTTGGTGATTAGAAAATTGATTTGAATGGGACAAGACAAAAAACAATGCGATTGCTTGGCTGTGGGAATGATCCAGAGGAAAGAAGCTGGTGGCTTGAGTCAGAATTCTAACAGTGGTTGGGTGAGAAGAGTTAGGATTCAAGATACCGTTTCAAAGCAGAACCCACGGCATTTGCTGATGAGTTGAAGGGTGAGGGTGACAGAATCACGAGGAACTGAATATCAGCCAGTGTGACCAAAGTGCTGGCAAGCTCTGGACTTCTAGGGGCATCTAGAAAGAGAAAGATCAGGAGGGGCAAACTGTGTAGGGTCATGTCAGTAACTGTTTTCACATCCTAAAAGAGGTGAGGTTGTGTTACATAATATTTTATACTGGGGGAGTTTATGTTTTAGAAAAATCTCTTTGGCTGTAGTTGGGGACTTGAGCAGATGAGGGAAAGAATGAGTGCAAGAAGATTTCTGAGGAAGAGAACTATGATGATGGACTAGGCTGATGGTAGTGAAAAGGGAAAGAGATGAATGGACCTGGGAGCTGTTTGGAAGGCGGCTGATGGGGCTGTGGTAACTGGATGTGGCTGAGAGAGGAGGGAGGAGCCAAGGATGGCGCCTCAGATTCAAGCTCAGGGAATGATGGACGTGCTGTTGCTTTGTTGTCATGAGGAGCCCCAAAGAGGACTGTACTGAGGGAGAGAAGATCGTGAGTTTTCTTTTAGCAAGATGAGTCCTTTGAAACACCCAAGTGGAGACTCTAAAGCTGTATGTTGAGGATTGAAGCTCAGAGGAGAGGTGGAGTTCATGATAAACAACTGGAGAAATCTGTGCAGGTGGCCACTGATTGCTCAGAGTGAGTGGGATGAAGAAAAAAACCCTAGGAAAAACAATGAAAAACTCAAAAGGGTTGGGAGGCAAGCCAGGAGAAAGGAGTGTTATGGGCAAGAGTGGGAGTCATCCATGACCAGAGACAGTGACAGGAATACAAGATGAAGATCAAGACCTGGGCCTTGACTTTAACAGTGTTAGTGTCCTTAGAGACCTATTTTAACAGCATCATGGACTGGAGGCCAAAGTGAGTTGTGGAGCGAATAAAAAGGGGTGAGCAAATGAAGATAGTGAACAAGGTAACTCTTTTGAATAGTTTCCCTAGGAAGAGAAAAAGAGGGCCAGGGAAGCAGTGAATAGAACATATGGAGTTGAAGGGGAAGAGAAAAAGAGGGCCAGGGAAGCAGTGAATAGAACATATGGAGTTGAAGGGGACTTTAAAAAAAAATTATTTATTCATACAGAACTGGGGTACAAGCCAGACGTTCAGGGGGTGACAAGAGGCTTCACCAGAGAGGGGAGCAGAACAGGCAGATTGATGAAGTACACTGCTGAGGGGAGCAGCAGGCGGGTCAGGAGAGATCTGCCACGCCATGTGGGCAGCTTTGGGGTCGGGATTGACCTTGCACTGTAGCGGCTGCAGCTAGCCTGCAGTGTTGCATCCTAACCCGCTGCACCACCAGGGAGGGCCCAAAGGAGCCTGTTTTAATGGTCTTTCAATAGAAAGAAAAGATGAAAGTGAGGAATTACTGTTTTAGAGGAAATAGAGATAACTAATGGTGAAAGATAAGAGAAATGGGACCTCCATAGAGGAAGGAAGGTTGGTTATATTAGATAAGGATTTTCTTCTTTATGATAACTGTAAGACAAGTAACTTCTACTCTAAAGCCTTTATTTTCGTTGTAATGGGTGGGGGGAAAGGAGTGTCCTCTGTTGGGGTTGAAATGGCAGTTAGGCAGGTCACAGATATGCGTGGCAGAGAAAGACAAGGTCATTGCAGAGAACGGAAAGTGAGTTGAGAACAGGAAAGTGAGTTGATAACAGAAACATAATCATATTTTCAGGCCTGTTTGAAATGGGTAATCATAGTGGAAGCGCTCTGCTCAGTTGTGTGATGTACATGTAGAGCTAAGTTGGGAGAAAGTTGAATTATAATGGGAGTGGCCAAGCAAAGCATCTGAAAGGATGAGTTCTTGTGATAAGAAAAGAGGCAGTGAGGTTGTGGGGGCTAACAATCTTTTTTTTTAAACAACAAAATGTATGGCATTTAGTAAACATGTGACATAGATTATACTATCAAAGTAGAGCATGCATGAACAAATTACCCATTCGTTTAATAAAAACACTGATCAATATTGAAAACATTAAGTGATTAACTTCCCACATCATACAAAATTCTCTTTCAGTTAAAGTGAGAAAGAAAATGAGAAGGCATCTATCCAAAGGACACAAAAACATTAATTTAAAA